AAAGTTTGCCCACCCCTGGTCTAGACCAATGATGGGGGAGGAGCCCACACAAGTAGTTGAACCAATAAACCCACTAATTATTGTCAGTATCCAGGATGGTTTGGATGGGGCATTGATAAAGAGCTATGGATTTGAAGGTCCTTTTTAATGATATTGGACAGAAGACTCTTCCACAGTTTAAAAAAAGTAACAGTTGCCAGTAAGGGTGAAGTATTGATATGTTACAGGGAGGGTTATAAGAAGGTACTCATGAAAGATATAAATTGACTCTTCAAAAAATTATTACTTTTTGGGGGGTCTATTCTTAGAGACAGATAATGTAGATATCTATCTAAGCAGAATCTAACCTTCCACGCTACATACACATTTAGGTGTTTAGGTGTTAAGCTAAGGTGTTGCTGAGGATAAAGCACTTCTTGAACAGTTAAAATATTTGAAAAGAAGTTTAAATCTCTGACATTAGAGTTACAGCAATACTGATCATGTAGAATACAGCCAAACAGACTCTAAGTGTTCAGAATAAATTTAGGTGTTAGGGGATCTCCCACCCATATCATGTCTGAATGAAAAGAAAATAAGGGAGTGCAAGTGAGGAAAGCCCAGAGATAAAACCCAGAGATAACACAAATGTGAGCAGGCTATTCACCTGAGTTAGGGCTGAAAGGTGAAAGCTGGTGCTGCTCTACTGGAAAACTTGACTAGTGTTAACAAATCTGATGAGAGTTGCTGAACCTTTAATTAGAAGGCCTAAAAGTGGATACACATTGCAAAAGAAAGAGCCCCATTCCCAGAAAACTCCCCGGTAAAACAGAAACGTAGGACATGCAAGCAATGTATCTGTATTCTTACAGAGGGAAATCACACGATTTAGCACTCACTACAAAAGTATGGTTAAGTGGAAGTCACAGGCTACAGCTTAAAAGCAAGAAAAAAAAAGAGGCCCTTTGCTTCCCATGGCAAAGTCAAAAGTCAACACTCCTCAACACCACCACCAAAACCAAAACACAAAGAGCCCCTTCCCCGAGGAAAAGAAAACACTTTCACTACAGCTCTTTTCAATTAAGTAAAAAGCACACAGTTTAGCTATCAACACCACTTCATTACTGTAATAAATAAAATAAAGCACACGGAGGTCTATTGACTATTGTGAAAAGTAAAACAACAACACCAACATCCATGCATCGTTAATCACCATCTGAGCTTGTGTGTCTGAGTCTACTGGTTACAGTTTAATTCCAAACAGAACTATTCCACCTCTTATCATGGTATCCTTCTGATCAGTTAGCTTAACTGTATACGAGCCCTGTCAGGTTAGAAAGAGATAAATAAAATTGAGTCAAGTTGAACAGTAGTAATGGTGCTGGGACACAACGGTCTTGTACACAAGTCATACCTGGTATTTTTGTTTTGTTTTGTTAATCATAAGCTCAAAATTTGTCTGGTTTGGAGGCTGCATACATGGTCAGATAACTTGACTCATCTAAAAATATTTATGTTATCAGCATTAAGAATACACAAACATATATAAATATGTATAACCAGGAACATTCTGTGGCCTGATGGTCTTGTCTGTATATAAGAAGCAGGTTAACAAATGATACCAGTTGGAAGTTAGGAGGGCCTGTTAATTGACTTACCCAAAAGGTCTTTGTATAAGGGCTGGATGAAGTTGTTGAACACCAAAGGCAAAACCTAACAACAAAACACATCACATTCTCTATTTGTGCATGGTTAGACACTTATAACTCCTACATATAAAGAGCAATCACAACTTTCATTTATGTTAGAAAAGATAACCATCCTCTTAATACTTTAGAGAAAATATTAGATATATATTTAAAAGACAGTTTTATTAATGCTATTGTTGATCCAAATAAAAATTTTAATAGGCTACAAGTGGAAACTAAAAATTATCTGCAAAGTTTAGTTGACATAGAATAAGACCTTAGAAAATTAGTTCAGGGAAAAATTCTCATGGAATAAAAGCAACAATAGGGCCTGATAATGAAGTTACATGCACAAATATTCCTATGATTCTGAATAATGATCTATAAAAATCCTTGGTAATTTGGAGCACTCTGGAATGCTTTGAACAATGCTTTGCAAGATTATGGCTTTTACAGATTATAGTATAAAAATTCACCAAAACAAACTCTCCTTTCCTTCTTCTCTGGATAATATCTACACTCAATGTGTTAGACAAATACATGTTTTTTAATGTTCATAGATAGTTGCTCATGCACCCACTTTCTTGACAGCCTAGTTTCCTAGTAAATCTGTTTGGATGGAAGGGTCAATCTCCAAAATTTCGAGAAAAGATTACATCTGTTCAACAGTCAACTCTTAATTATTTGTGCTCATGCAGAGGGCAGTGTTATAAATGCAGAAGGTCATGTTTTCACACAGACAAAACCGTGCTCCCTCTTGGTGGTTAATAGCTATGTGACTTTGGAGTAAATCATTTCTCATCTGTATCAGTTTCTCAGTTTTTTCATCTGTAGCATGAGGGTAACTGGAGTATGTGAAATCTATTTTAATTACTAATATCCTGTGAGTTTATGTTAAACATTTATCATCCAGACACCTCCACCTGCACCCCTATGCTTTTCTTGGGTCAGTGTTCAAGTCTGAGTGCCTGCTTTGGGCCCAGGCAACTGGTGGTAAAAGGAGAGACATTCCTAACGTTGCGTTAGGAAGTACAACCAGCTAGACTTGACAAGTTTGGCCCATATAATCCACATCTGAGTTATCTACAAGTGTCTAAAAACTCAAAAATGGAGAGTGGACTCTGACTACAGAAAACAGGTGAGTCATGTCCAAGTCTTGGCCTGTAAAAAACTGTCCAGTCCTCCAAGATCTATTTTTGTACACAGGTATATTTCAAGTCCTGAAAGGAGTGGTTACAACTCTCCTTTATTTATCTTTAATGCCTTGGCACAATCACCAGCCATGGTTTAACTTTACTGAATACATCTACCAATGTTCTAAATCGAGGATGCATGCTATGCAGTAGTGGGCATCTCTAGTGGGGAGGGGAGGTACAAAGGGACCCCTGTTTCTCACCTGGTTGCATGATCCTTGGTTTTGCTCCCAAGTATGCCAGGTTCACATTGGCCTTCCTGCCATCAATTATGGGGTTGGGATCCTTGCAGGCTCTTTCCGCAGCAGCCCGGTCAGCCATGGTGACCTTAGCAACATACACACACAGACATACATACAAAGCTCTAAATCAAGCCTTGAAGGAAACCAGAATCGCACTGGAAATATCATTCATGATAAAACTAAGGGGGGGAGGGGGTGTCTTAAACTTTTTCTTTCTTTTTTATTTTTCTCCCTGGAACTTAATCCTTGATCCCCCGTCCAAACAGAAAAGGAAAGAAAACAGAAAGGAAGAAATACCACCCCCACCACCCCGACCACACACACACACACACACACACACACACACACACACACTCCAAAGTCTTAAGGGTGCTAGCAGGGCCTAGCAAAAATTTGGAAGCCTGAATTCTGACTTAGAATTCCTCTAGGTCCTCTTCAACCCGCCCTCAAAGCCCCCAGGTCTCCACCGGACCTGAGGCACTGTTTGCTTTAAAAAAGAAGTCCAACCTCACATCCGCCTGTGCTCCCAACTACCCGCAAACACTCCCCAACAACAATAGCTATTGTCCTGCTCGGAAGCTCCCTGCTCCTGAGCAGCTGAATCTACACGCGTCAATCTCCAGGAAGCTTAACATGCTCTATTTCAATTCTGCAAAGAGCCATAGGATCATATTTTTAAAGAACCCATCTTTGCAGTTAAAAGAAAAAGAGTGGGGGCTGGAGGGAGAATAGCCCCAGACCTCCTGGGGTGTCGCCTCCGGGCCCCAGCCAGAACGCCAGAAGACACACGCATTTTTACAAAGCAACAGCGCGCTGCCCGACCGGCCTCCAGCCCCGGAGCGCAATGCCGTGGGGTTGCAGCCCCTCCCTCCCCA